TTTTGCGTAGGGTGGGATATGTTATTTTAAGTAAGGTTAGGGTTAGGATTAGGGACATGTTAAATTAGGTAGAGTTAGAGTTAGGAGAGTTATGTTAAGAATGATCAGATTAGGTAGGGTTAGGGAAGGGTAAGTGTTAGTCGGAGGTTAGGAAAGTTAAGCTAAGTGAAGAATTGATAGGGATGAGTTAGGTTAGGTAGAGTTAGGGTTTGGTATAGGTTTTTACTTTGAACTCAACCTCTGTGTCTTCTGTATGTTAAAATCAATATGTCAGCAAGGTAAGTATATAAAGTTTTAAAAACAATAACCAGATTTGATTAACCGGAATGCTTTGACCCTCTTACACTTTGTATTGGCATGTAAGAAGTTGGCATCTCCTCTCTCCCTACTTATAACCTTAACTTCGGTCCGAAATTAGACTTCGTGAGGTCAAGTGGCTCGACTGTAAGTGTGCGGAGATCGTTTTGGAAACAGATTCATATTTTGGTGGAATTGTGGAAGTTTTTCATTTTATTTTGACTGCAGGCAGATTGGCTCTGGCTCTGAGAAGATTTTTTGATTAAGAACCTTTAATTTTCCTACATTAGCGAGTTAAAAGAAATTTGAGGGGTCTGAAACACCCAAATGAATCCGGGAAATTCAACCCAGGTTCTCTATGTGACACCATAAAAATCACCAATCAATCGATAGGTTGTCAGTGAACTTTAAAGGCACAATAACTTTATTGAAAATGACACAGCTTCGAGTTAAAAAATGAAGGAGCCTCGCCCTGCTTACAACCTCGTCGACCATACGAATACTGTTTTTTTTCTTTTTTTTAACAATAGCATTTTTTTTAATGTTTGAATTACATAGAAAAAAAATTATTCACTAAGGTTTTGTTATCAAGCTAATAGATCGTATTTATCAAGAAGAACTTGATTTTTCGGAATATAAGACCATTTTATTACATGAAATTACATAATAGGTGAAAGATTATCATGTTAATCGTCATTAAGGTTTTGGGTACATAAATTGCAAAAAAAAGGTAAGCAAATAGGGCTTAATTGTCGTTGGGGCTGGGCAAGACATGTATGCAGTGACAATTACATGGCAGCATCGGCTTAAGACAGACCTTTCTCCGAGGATCAAGTCCCGTTCTCCAAAAACAGAGAAAACCCGCTTCCAGGGAGAAAGTAGGGCCATCTTTCCAGTGACCATTATCTTTCATTTTCAAACCGATTACATGTGACAGAATCACGTGGATAGACAGATTGAGAAGTCCGCCTCCGGGATTGGAATCGGTGTGACTTTTTTTTTAAATTACGCTAAGTTATAAATTTGTATTGGCCGGGCAGATTTTTGAAGATAAAATGCACGACGGGAAAAGGAATGAAGTCGTTTCACCCTGTGACAACCCGAGGACTATTATTAGTGACAATGCAAAAGTTGTTGCACTCCGGGTTGAAAAAATTCATCCGTCATATTCGCCCGAGAAAAAAAACCCGTCACAATTCCCACTGTTTCGGTCAATATACAATTTACAGCTCGATCATCTACGATTATTCTGACTCGCCTATTCTACCTAGTTTCCTTTTGTGCTATTTTGTCCAGTCACTAACCAACAGAGGACGGCAAGAAGTCGAAACAGTGTCTGACTAGAGATGATTATCATGCCAAACCAAAAACGTGAGATCTAATAAGAGTGAGAGAGAAATAGAATGATTGAAAGCAAGAGAGAGGAAGAGAGAGAGAAATAGAGGGAGAGAGAGAGAGAGAAAGAGAGAGACAGACAGAAACAGACAGTCAGAAACAGATAGTGAGGCAAAGAGAGAGGTGAGAGAAGGAATGATAGAATGGTTGAAACAGAGAGACAGACAGAGAGAAACAGACAGTCACAGACAGATAGTGAGGCAATGAGAGAGATGAGAGAAGGAATGATAGAATGATTGAAACAAAGAGAGAGAGAGACAGGGAGAGAGACAGACAGACAAAAAGAACTGGCTGACGGATTAAAACAGAGATGCATGGCATGCCAATCTAAAAGCTGGAGACATAATGTGGGCGAGAGAGAGAGAGAGAGAGAGAGAGAGAGAGAGAGAGAGAGACAGACAGAGTGACAGAGAGACAGAGAGAAACAGACAGTCAGAAACAGATAGTGAGGCAAAAAGAGAGGTGAGAGAAGGAATGATAGAATGATTGAAACAAAGAGAGAGAGAGAGATGAGATAGAAGAAAGAGAGAGAGACAGACAAAATGAACTGTCTGACGGACATAAACAGAGAAGATTGGCATGCCAAACTGAAAGCTAGGGATATAATGTGGGCGAGAAAAAGAGAGAGAAACAGATAGTTAGAAACAGATAGTGAGGCAAGAGAGAGGTGAGAAAAGGAATGATAGAATGATTGAAAAAAAGAAAAAGAGAGAGTGAGAGGGTGGTGAGAGAGAAAGAGTGGGCGGGAGAGAATGATAGAATGAACCAATCGAGGAAAGCAAGAAATAGTGAGAAATGGGAGAGAAGAAGACCGAAAGAGAGAGAGAGAGAGAGAAAGAGAGAGGGTGACGGAGAAAAAGAGAGAGAGAGAGAGAGTGAAAGAAAGGGATAGAGAGAATGAAAAGAAGAAAAAAGAGACGAAGTGAGAGAGAGAGAGAATCAAGAATATGAAGAAAGCGCGTGAAAGTGAGGGAGAGAATGATAAAAGGAAGAACCGAAAGAAAGGCACAGAGAGAAAGAGAGAGAGAGAGAGAGAGAGAGAGAGAGAGAGAGAGAAAGAAGAAAGAAGAGATTTCACAATAAAATGTATAACTCCATTGTCTAAGATCTTCCTGACCGGCCTACCCCCTTGGCTTTGTTTTTCAATGTTTTAGTCAAATCTACAACTACTGAACACTGCGAGAAGCCAAAACTGATGGATTAAAACAGAGATAGGCAGACCAAACTGAAAGCTTATCCTTCTGCACACCTCAAGAATTCATCTCACAACAAAATGTTTAATAATAAATTCAGACCCCCAAGGTTTTCCTGTCAGAGTAGGGCCACGAGAATATGTATACCATCGGAATCGGCCCAACAACATCACCCTTCAGAACCCCAAGGAACTCACTATGTAAAAGGTTCTAATTCATCCCCTGGAAATATATTAGTTATCAGTTTATCGATCTATCATATTGTTTGTCGTTTTACCAATAAATAAGTGGGAAAAGCCTAAAACAAATCCTTCGAATGCACTACCCGTGTCTTGTCGGATGGCCGGCGCCTATCGACACAAAGTAAGTCATTTTCAAAAAACAGGTCTCTGCCGGGGAACTTCTTTCAAACAAGAATAAATGATTTCCTGGCACTTTCAAAGCTGAATCCATCCCCACCATCGCAGAGTCAACGGGACCAGCTACTAAAGTGCTCATTAACGACCATAACAGAGCGCCCCGTTTTTCCTCCTAGGCATAAATCATTAACCCTTTTCTTAATTTGTAATAACAAAATTCTAAACAATAAGGCAATATTTAGGCTTAAGATTAGTAGATTTAAATTCAAATTTTGAAATTGAGAGTATTAACGTTGATTTCATTTCATTTTCAACCTCTTACAGATATCAAATTTTTAAAATTGTATAGCGACATATTCATTTTCCAATGCGTTGTTATTTGCTATATTTTTGACTTTGTTTTACCGATTTTTCAAATTGCACTTGGCAAGAAGAATCAGAAGAAAAATCATAAATTAATACATGATAAAGTGGGTTAATAGATTTTTCTCCCAATTATCACATAATTATTTTGTTTAATTCTCTTCAAGATCCAAGTTTAATGTACAAACAATAGCTGGCAGGGATGTTGAAGCATAAAAAATGATAGAGAGAGACCTTGAGCATCAGGAAGGACTTAAATTCTAGGCCTTAGAGGGACATAGACTCTGAGCTTTAGGAGAGACTGAGGCTTTGGGCGACAGGAAAGACTTAGACTCTGGCCCTCAGGGGAAACTTAAACTCTGGAGTTTTGGGGAGACTTAGGCTATGGACCTAATGAGACTTATTCTCTGGGCCTTAGGGAGAAACTTAGGCTCTGATTTGATCTTCAGATTGACCAAAAATGAATAGACAGAATTGAATAAATTGACCAAGATTTAGTCTCAAGGATCACTATTACATCTAACGACTCTGAGAGAGAGAGAGAGAGAGAGAGAGAGAGAGAACGAGAACGTCTCTGAAGAAGCATTATGGAAAGAGAGAGAGAAAGATATAATGATCGAAAGATCGAACGAAAAAAAGAAATAAGGAGAGAGAGAGAGAGAGAGAGAGAGAGAGAGAGAGAGAGAGAGAGAGAGAATGTTTGTTGATTGATTTTTGTTTTATTTATAGTCACAGGACTTGGAGATATACTGAGAGAGATAGAGAGACCCACACACACACAGACAGACAGTCACAGAGAAAGGGAGTGTACAGTTTTGGGTTCGTATGTTTCAAAAACCACGTGCTACAGTGTCACTTCCAGCCAGGTATCAGTTGTCAAAAGAGAAAAACAGAGAGAGAGAGAGAGAGAGAGAGAGAGAGAGAGAGAGAGAGAGAGAGAGAGAGAGAGAGGGAGAGACCTATCGTACTTCAGAAAACGTTTATTGTCAGTCGGAAAACCATTACGCTGTACAAATCAATAAAATTTTGGCTGCTGGACCATTTATTTTCAAGTAAGGAGCTTAGGATTAAGCAAAAAAAACTTGAAACTGTTAAAAGCCGAGGGAAGATGACAGAAAAACAAACAGTAACAAATGTTAACATTGTTATGCAATACGTATAGATCAATTGTTTACGTTTTTTGGAAAATTAAAAAAAAAAAATTGGACAAAGTACAAGAAGTATTCTCTTAAATTGTGTCCTCGACATCTTAAGATTTTTTCTAAGTTACACGAACCATTTGTTTTCGCTTTTATCCAAAACAAAATGGCCTTAAGATTAAGATCTTTAATATACAATAAGGTCAAAAATTGTCCGGCGGTATAATTAATTGAAAACGAGTGTGCCCTCTTACCTTTCTCGTAGAGAGAGAAGGGATGATGGCGGTGTGGCAGGTGGTGTTGTTGTTTTGGACGCATAGGATAGACTGGATCTTGAACGTTCCAGTTACACCATCCCCCACCTAACGAATGCACACAATTAACCCAATTCAAAAGCCCGACACATAGGAGAAACTTGAAAAAAGAAGATGAAGAAGATGAAGAACTGAAGCGGCCAGAGGTTCGTATTAATAATGCTGGGGAGTCGCTGAAAGTTATCGTCTCATTCGGAAATTTAGGTGATTTGGAGCACTAGATGTGTAAATCTGAAAAGAAAGGATATATAAAAATAAATACATGTTAAAAAAAAAAAAAACAAGGAAAACTCTGACATCTTACTTATCCAACAGGATAATTAATCATAAACACCGAAACCCCCCCCCAAAAAAAATATCCATCCTAATCTGTCTCTTCTGTATAATCGCTGATCATCTTTTTCTTCCTATTTTCATGGTATATTTTTTATCTGCATTGTTTCTCGATTCCGCCAATTTTATCACACGGGAAAAATTTTCGTATAATTAACTATTAAATTTTTATTTTTTTATTACTTGTATACCGGGATAATTAAATAAGGAAGTTACAGATAAGAGCTATCCAGCTGTATAAAACCAGCCGAGATTAATAGGATGGAAATGGGATATTATTTTGTCATATTTCATCTCCTTTGCCTATGCTCGCTGTGTTAATTTTGTAGGACGAGGATCTACGTTTCGCCCTTTGCACGGCCGTGCGAACGCACGCTTGCGGTGAAAGAGAGAGAGACAGAGAAAGTGAGGTTGCGAGGGAGAGAGAAAGAGTGAGAGTAAGAGAGAGAAATAGAGAGCGTGAGAGAGAGATAGAATGAATGAAAAATAAAGAGATAGGGGAGGAAAAGAAATAAAGAGAGAGAGAGAGAGAGAGAGAGAGTGGATAAAAAATAGAGAGGGAGAGAGAGAGAATTAATAAAAATAAAGAGAGAAGGGAGGGGGAAAATACAGAGAGAGAGAGAGAGAGAGAGAGAGAGAGAGAGAGAGAGAGAGAGAGAGAGAGTAGGAGAGAGAGAGAAAGGATAAAAAAAATAAAGAAAGACAGAATGGATAACAAATAAAGAGAAAGAAAGAAAGAGAGAGATAGGGGGGAGGGAAAGAAATAACGAAAAAAAAGGGAAAGAAGGAGAGGGAGAGGGTGAGAGTTGATGAAAAAATAAAGAGGGAGAGGGGAGGGAAAGAAAGAAAGAGAAAAGGAGTGAGAGAGAGAAGTAATGAAAATAAAGAGAGAGCGTGAAGGCAAAGAAAGAGAAAAAGAAAGAGAATGGTAGAAAGAACGAAGGAAATAGAAAGGGAAAGAGAATGGTAGACGAAGAGAATGATAGAATGAAATAAATAAATAATGAGATAGTGTACGTGAGAGAGGGAGAGAGAGAGAGAGAGAGAGAGAGAGAGAGAGAGAGAGAGAGAGAGCGTGAGCGTGAGGAAGAGAGATTGGATGACCAAATAACGAGACAGAGAGTTGTTGTTAATCCTCAGTGGTAAAAAATTTGCATTAGAAACTACAAAAAAAATTAAAAAAGACGCTTTAATTGAACATGCAAAAGAAATTGATCGGCAATCGTTATATGAAACAAGAAATATTGACCAAAAGATAGACAAGTTCAACAAGGATATACTGAGTCTACTAAATAAAGATTTAGAAAAACATTTTCTTTATCGTGCCAACGTTTCAATCTTTCAATTAATTAAGGTTTTTAGTTGAGATAAAAAAGTCAGTGTCACGAGCGGGATTCGAACCCACGATCATCGGCTAGATACGCCTCTCCTCTACCACTTGACTTCGATCCCCTCGGGCACCAACTTCCCTTCTCAACCGCACCTTTTTTTTAATTTTCCCTCCTTTTTGCCATTTTTCAAATGTCGTGTAATCTATTTGATTCTCGGCGACAAATTAAATGGCCACGGAGAGCTTTAGTGAAAAAAAATGGCAAAAAGGAGGGAAAATTAAAAAAAGGTGGGGGTTGAGATGGGAAATTAGTGTCCGAGTGGATCGAGGCCACGATAGCTCAAGTGGTAGAGCAGCGGCGTATCTAGCCGTAGATCGTGGGTTCGAATCCCGCTGTGTCACTGACTTTTTTATCTCAACTAAAACCTTAATTAATTCAAATATATTAATTGGTCAAGCGGACCACGAAACTAGTGAATTTAATAAGTTTCTATCTTTATTGAGATCATCTTCAGAGCCTGGGATTTATAAACATTGATTAAATTATACATACATTATACAATGATGTACACAATGTGGAAATTATAGGTTTAATTAAACAAATTCAAAGTGTGTGTTTTCTATGTAAATTGATGACTGTGATTAAACCTAAAATTTCTATCATTGTATAAATTCATTTTCACACCTTACATATCTTTGTATAATTTAAACAATTTCAATTAATTAATCTTTTTATGTAAGGTTTTGGTTGAAATGAAAAAGTTAGTGCCACGAACGGGAAAAAGATTAATTAATTGAAAGAAGTAATTAATAGACCACTAAATATAATGAATTTAATTTAAACAATGTTCATAAATCCCATGCACTGAAGATGATCTCAATAAAGATCGAAACGTAGCACGATAAAGAAAATGTTTTTCTAAACCTACATCACATAAGAACGCATCTCACGACCTCCAAATAATCATTAATTAACGGTCACTAAATACCACACATTTCTAATAAATTAATTCCCACCAGTATTGGATCTGAAGAAAAGAAAAATTCCTATAAAATGGATTACAAATGAAATAATGACGCTCAGAAAACACCGGGACAAAGCTTATAAAATATATCAAAAAATCCAGGCCCTGAGTGATTGGGAAAACTACTTTTATATTATTAAAGTGTTATTGTAATATGTGTTATAATAAATAAATGTGTTATAATAATAAACAGAAAATAAGAAACGAAAAAATAAACACTTCCATGACTTATGTCAGTATAATACAAACACAAAACAAAAGTGAAAAATAGTTACAAACTATGGTGCCGGAAAACAAAGAGATACAATGACGAAATCAAAGTAGATCTTGACGAATTAAACAGAAATCCAAAATCAAAGAAGTCACTATAAGGGATGTATTAAAAGCGATGTCCGGATGCAATAAAGGTAGACGAAGTGCCAATAAAGTTGCTAAAAATCATAAAACATGAAGTGAGTCCGGCACTTAATCACATATTTAATCATATTTGATGAAGTGCCGGACTCATTTCGTGTCCTATCATTTTTCATATCATTGCATCCGAGGTTTTTTCGGACATCGCTTTTAATACATCGCTGGCGGTGACTTCTTTGATTTTGAAGTTTTCTACTGTATATGAATATGCTTGATCTCTGTAGGATCGCGGGATCTCAGGGTTTATTCGGCTTTCAGCATTAGTGTTGCAAAATAAACTGTTTAATTCGTCAAGATCTACTTTGATTTCGTCATTATATCTTCTTTGTTTTCCGGCACCATAGTTTCTGACTACTTTCCACATTTGTTTTGTGTTTATATTATTCTGAAATAAGTCGTGGATGATAAATGTTATGGTTTATTGGATATTATTAAGTCAACTATACTTGTTTATTTCCTTCTGTCTTTATTTGAGGCACGCCTTTCACTCACTGTCAGAATGAATAGTCCGTTTCTTTTGTTACTTGTCAGATCGAAGTCGTTTCCATGTATTTTTGGATGTGTACTTTTTGGCTTTTGCATGTGTCTGTCCTACCAGAACACTGTGTCCTTTTGACGTCATTTATGATACAGACAGAAGATTATGTTGAATATCAGGAACAATGATGCCTTCAATAGTCAAGTTTTTGCCCTGGCATTTGACCTTTAGTGTTCTAATTTTGTTTCCCTTTAACACTTTACCATTTGCTATATAGATGGTTACATCTCTTTCCGGATTCCGAACAAGACACTCAACAATAGACCAAATTCACCGAGTAACGGACGTAATAGAAAAATCTCTCGAAGAAAAACAAATTTGTTCTGCTATCTTCCTTGATGTCTCACAAGCTTTTGACAAGGTCTGGCACGAAGGACTCATCAATAAACTAAAAGGTATGCTACCAAAGCGTATGTCGATATTATCAGTTCCTACCTAACTGACAGACTGTTTAAAGTCAAACAAGAAGATCAATATTCAAAATTAAAAATAATAAATGCAGGAGTGCCACAAGGTAGCATATTAGGTCCACTGCTTTACTTGTTATACACCAGTGATTTTCCGAAAATAGATGGAGTAAAAATTGCAACGTTTGCAGATGAAACAGCGGTGATATCACTAGGACCGACTATCACCCACTCAACCAAAATCCTCCAAAGATAAACGAATAGACAAAAAAAATGGACAATCAAGCTAAATCAACATAAATCAGTTCATCTAATCTTTACAAGCAAAAAGGTGGACCATGTTCCGTCGCTCACAATCGATGGAACTACTATACCATACAGCAATACAGCTAAATATCTGGGAATGACCTTAGATGCCAAGCTGAGATGGAAAGAACACGTGAAGAAAAAAAGGACAGAAATAGGTTTAAGGTATAGACAACTATACTGGTTGATAGGACGTGGCTCCAATCTTGCTATACAAAATAAAATATTATTATATAAACAAGTCATAAAGCCTATGTGGACATATGGTATTCAACTATGGGGTTGTACCAAACACAGCAATATCAAAATCATACAAACACTCCAAAATAAAATCTTACGTAACATGGTCAATGCACCTTGGTACATAAGGAATAAGGACTTACATAGGGATCTTAAGATCCCTGAAGTCACGGCGGAAATACAAAGATTTGCCGCCAAACACCAGGCTCGCTTCAGCCAGCACGAGAATGTGGAAGCGACCAAACTCTTACATAACCGAAACATGGTCAGAAGATTAAAAAGAACAAAGCCATATGAACTTATGTAGTTAAAAGTTAATAGTGAAATGTAAATCTTATTGTACCAATGGTTTTATAAGAATATAAACATTTATTTATTCAGTAATATGATTGTAAAATTAATGGTTGGTCTAATAAGACCAGTTTTAATAAATAAATTTCATTTAAAAAAAAATCTCTTTCAAGAGTTTTGACATCTGTTAATAGGGGCTTCAAGTCTTGTCTAAAAAAATGATTACTAGCTCCAAAATCAATTATAAATGTTATACCAATTTTACTGATTGGAAAGAGATTTGCAGCATTTGGATCAAATAGGTCTACATCTTTTTCTGCACTATTTGCATGCTGTTTTTCTTGATAATGAAACGATAAGTTTCTACGTCCTCCTCTATAATAGGTTCCTTCTCTTTCCCTTTCTCTTCTTGGATTCATGTGCTTGGGGCAACTGGTTTAAAAAGCAAGTTTTACTTCCACAGATGTGACAAGATTTGTCTTTGCTTGCTTTGAAGCTTGCTTCATTGCTGGCTAGCTCTTTTTCTACTTCTTCTTCTCGAGATTTGATTTTTACTTCTTCATCAAGAAGACGAGCCTTTACAAAGTCAAGTTTGATGTTGGATACTGTTTCAAGAGCAGTATTAACTGTATCTTATTGTGATGGAAGGGACAGCAATAAATGGCATATTTTGTCGTCTTCTTGAATTACAAGAACCTACCTTTTGTAAAGGTTTAAGTGAGAATATCCTATCCAAGTATCATGTTGGCTTGGGGGCATTTGTTATCAAAGCGTTTTTGAAGACGCTGGTAGTTTTCTGAACTGATGGGAATGGAGGATATTGCCTGAATTTCTGGATCTTGCAGTGACGACCGTAAGTAATAAAATTTTTGTATGACATTTATACGATTATTCTTGTGAATCATTGACGCATAGGTATCTCTGAAAGTCGGCCAAGTGGCCAAATCTCCGTTGAAATTGAGCAACTGGATTACTGGCAAATCGATGGGTCCGATCCGTCATCTTGCAACACGGAACTGGCATGAAGTGGTCCGTCATTGCATGTAGAACTGGTTCGGAAATAATGACTCTTGAAAGGACAAAGCTTCGAACCAGTAGGCTTTTGTCGTTTGCCTTAGTGTATCTAATGATGGGGTATCAACATTAATCAATTTGGCATATTCCTTTGTATTACGGAATACCGTGCAAAGCTTCTCCCACATGCCGTCGATTCGGGCAATCTGAACCTTAAAAATGTTGAGCCGTGCTGGGTCCTCGTGTAAGGTAGTCAGAATTTCTCCCAGATCCCTAATTTCCTTCAGGTCTTGACTAAGGTTTTGAAGTTCTTCTCCCAGCTCTAACATGATGTTCATATTTTCACGTTTAGATTCTATTTTAACTAATACTAGATTTAGACGACTTAAAATTAAGTTTAGGTAACCACAAATTTGTAGCGACAATTAAAAGTGTAGACCTGAGACCTACAAAAACGAAAGAACTCAAACCCATGGCATCGGAATAATTACTTTAATATTGTTGGCCACAACATACCGCCCACCAAATTTAATTATTAAATTTTAGAATCATAATCATTGTCTCCTTCTGGGAACAAAGGCGACAATTTAACCACTAGACGAATAAATTCACCTTCTGCGGTTTGGACCTTCACATATTGTTGGCTACAACACCTTGAATTATTATTGACTGTGCCTTCGCATCACGAGTCTCGAAGTTTTTCTTCTTATCCTTTTCAGCCGGGATTTCCCTAGTCAACACGTTGTCACATTGGTCGTGTTTCAAAATCGAAGTTATCGTAAGCAACAATTGTTGAAGTTCGTCGCCGTGAGTATTGGAATAACAAAACCTGTGCTTGTCATCGTGTCACAACCTTGGAATTACAGAATACTGCAGTCAAAATATAGTTCACGCGTTCAACAAAACCCTGAGCCCATAACCTGATAAATGTTATGGGTCATTGGATGCTATTAAGTCAACTACAGCGGAAGTGTTTATTTTTTTTTCGTTTCTTATTTTCCGTTTGATTTGATTTCTAAAAACACTTTTAATCATATAAAAGAAGCTTCCCAATCTCTCAGTCTTGCTTTTTTGACACTTTTTCTAAGCCTTGTCCCGGAGTTTTCTGAGAGTCATTTCATTTGTCATCTATTTTATAGGAATTTTTCTTTTCCCCATATCCACTATTGGTACGAATTTATTTAATCAGTACATTCTAGTTGAACTTGTCTATTTTTTGGTCAATATATCTTGTTTCATATAACGATTGTACTTCTTTAATTTCATCCTGCTTTTCGACATCGATTAATTATGGTGTACATTTAGTAAATTCAATTTCGGCATGTTTAAAATATTGAGAAAGGGTACGGCAAAACTTTCCATACATTTCGTTTTCGAAGTATAATAAATACTTATAAGGATTAAGTAAAGGTTACAAATCTTATTTAAAGATTACAAAAAAAAATATTATTGTTGGTATATTAATTTCATTTTTGGTCAACATAAAAACGAAAATGTTCTACAAATACGACGCAGAATATTCTAATTTGGTATGATTTAAAAAGGTAAATCGTCAAATTACTACTTTTGCATTTGACCTCATTTGTCGTGATTCTAGCGTTATAAAACCTTTAAATAACGACTTTCGCCGAAATCGGTGTAAATTAATTTTTTGACTGATGATTTCGACGACAACAAGCTCTAACATAATTTTTCTCAAAAGCTAGTTGGCCGATTTGCATAATTCGTTTTAAAGAACTTTTTATAACTGTATTAAACATTAAAATAAGACTATTATTTCTATTAAAAATATGAGATTAATTTACGACAAATACATAAGTCGTTAAAAAGGTGCGTTCCTCATCATTCAAATGGACCCTTTGACCATAAAATCCTTTTAGTCCTTTTTGAATTATACCTGTTTTAATCGAATATTCCCACGACTTCTCAGAAATCGAAACAACTTTCGAGGTAAAAAAATCGATCCATTTAAATTCAAACAAAAATTTATATTCAGGGATCTCTTGAAGTGCTTAAACCTCATATTAGTTTTGCCAAAAAAAGACCTAGTTTGCATGAAAAATATTTGGTTTTTACAAATTTTTTGGTTATTGATAAACTTTGATAGCTTCTACTATTAGAATAGAATAAATTCAACCACTGATACCGGGCCTACTAATCAAGTTACCTCATGAACTAGGACTCACCGGTGTCCTATAAGCCCAGAACGGGTGAAACAACAGATTTTTGCTGTATATGACACACTCTGCACATTACAACTTTGAGACGCGATTCGCAGATTTATTTATATAAATGCACTAATATTTAAACAATTTTTTGGTGATTTTAACTGTCTTCATTTATAATTTTTAAGTAATTTCTTTTCACAGTATGTATCTATAGGCAGTAACTTCTACTTCCACCCACGGCACATCTTTTCATCTCAATTTTTAATTGTTTATAATACATCGCTTGCTTTAAAAATTATTTCAATTAGTAGTCACTAGTAATTATTATAAATAGTTTTCATTAATCTGAAGGAATGTATGGCTTTTAGTTTTTTCTCTATTTTATTCAGGAGAGAGAGAGAGAGAGAGGAAGAGAGGGAGCGGGAAAGAGGAAGAGAGAGGGCGGGAAAGAGGAAGAGAGAGGGTGGGAGAGAGGGAGAGGGAGTGAGGGATTGAGAGGGAGAGAGAGAGAGAGGGAGAGGGAGTGGGAGCGGGAGAGAGAGAGAGAGAGAGGGAGTGAGGGATTGAGAGGGAGAGGGAGTGAGAGAGAGGGAGGGAGTGAGCGAGAGGGAGTGGGAGGGTAAGGGAGGAATGGGAGGATGTGGGAGGGAGAGAGAGAGAGAGTATTAATGTTTTAAGCTACATTTTAGTTGTAAATGTAGGGTAAGCGAAAACAAGTAGCTTCTACAAGTATAAAGTAAACGTAATAAGAAAAATTTCAGAAAACTTTTCCACTAATTCATACTCTAAAACGTCCCATAGCACAGGAATGGTGAAAATGGAAGGTGTCAACTAAGGGTGCCTCCTCAGTCTATATGTGTTCTTAATATTTATAAATTTGATGACTTGGATCGAAGTATCATAACGATCTGACTGCTGCCGTTTATTTAGGTTTGCTTGCAAAGTTCAATTGGTTATTTATTTCATTAGCATCTGTTTCACGTTGCTTGACAACTGAATCTTTTATTGACTTATGTAGTGTGTCACCATTTAATGACTAAATTAGTTTTATTTATTAAATTTTTTACATAAAAAATTTTAATTGTTTAAAATATTAGTTAACGTTTAGACAAGGCATGATAAGCGCTTTTATTTCTGTATCTCTGTTCTGCGAATTAACTAAAAAAAGGTAATTTCAGCTATTTTTAAATTGTTTAAATCAATACTGTGAGATCTAGGGACAAAACAATACCAACTATTCTTTATTATAACCCTTTTTAAAAAACTGTAAAAACAAACAATTTTATTACATAAAGCTCAAGAAAACTTAGATTGTAAACCAAAACGTTATATGCAGGCTTAACAAAATTATATTGTATTAAAATAAAATATTTTAAAAAGTTAATATATTTTGCTAATTATTTTATTATGCTGTAAGCTTAAAACAACAATTTATTACTCCCCAATTTTGATTATGCAATAGTTCTCTCGCAGCGGACATCCATCACATTGAGCCTTACAAACGACTTTCCTACTAAAACTAAAATTATCAACAAACATCGAAGGATCTACAGCTCTTTTAAAAGAGAGAGAGAGAGAGAGAGAGAGAGAGAGAGAGAGAGAGAGAGAGAGAGAGAGTGAGAGAGAGAGAGAGAGAGAGTGAGAGAGAGAGAGAATAATAATAGAATGAATGAAAAAAAATTACAAAAGAGTGTGAAAGAGAGAAATTGAGAGACAGAGAGAGAAAGATAGTAAGAGAGAATGAGTGTGAGAGAAAAAGAGAATGATAGAAATGATAGAATGAAAGGAAAAATAAAAAGAGAGTGAGAGACAGAGAGAGAAAGATAGTAAAAGAAAAAGAGAAAGTAGGAGAGGGATAGAGAGTATGAGAGATACAGAGAGAACGAGAATGCCAGAATGAACGAAAAAATAAAAAGAGAATGTAAGAGATAGAGATTGAGAGACAGAAAGTTAGAGAAAGATAGTAAGGGAAAAAAGAATAAGAGAGAGGGAGAGAGAAGGAGAATGATAAAATGAACAGAAAATAAAATGAGAATGTGAAAGGGAGTTAGAGAAAGATAGTAAGAGAATGTAATAGAGAGAGAGAATTGAATTGAAACGCTTTATTTATAATAATCGCAGATTTAAACCATATTGACCATTTTTACAATCAAAGAGTTTGATTTTACAAAAATAATTAAACCCCAAATATACAAACAAAATGATTATGGAACATATAATTTTAGCTTTAATCAGTATTACAAAATTTAACATATAGTGTGTAATGTACAATGTAACCTAACATAATTGTATTATAAACAAATGATTTCACTTTACAACTACAATTTAAAAAAAAAGTGTATAAACATAAAATTTGGAAGTAGGAATAAAAAAAAATTAAAAAGTAAAAAATATATAATTATACAATAACCATTTAATAAGTGCATTAGTGAACGCATTTAACAAGGCAGAGAAAAAATGATAAAATTGAAATTAAAAACAAAAAATACAATATATAATAAATTAAGATTTATGACACTATATTGTAAAATGTATATGTAAACATAATAAAAAACTTATATGTAGATTAATTGCCACAGAAGATGATTATACATATTTTGAAATTAGCATTTCTATTTATTTTTTAATTAATTTTCATTGTTTTATATTTTTTATTTCTAATGGCATATTGTTCACGATTCTCGTGCTTTTCAGTAAAAATGAGTTGCTAAATGTTTTGTTTTGTGTTTTGGAATTATCAACTGGTTTGAATGTCGACTATTAATATTGTGTAACAAAGTTGAAGGAATTAAGGATTAAGGGCGTAAGAGGTCTCCAGACCGTTCAAAGCTACGTGAAGGGTTCACAGGTTGCAAAAGTGTGTGGCTTGGGCATAGGATTAGGATGGATTGAAAGACTGGTGTGGAACTTTTGGAATCAGGATCAAAGGTCATTGTGGACAATTAGAAGCTTTAATAATTTGTCAAGACCTTTTGATTGGAATGATTGGATGTGCTGTTTATCAGATGACTTGGCGGAACTGAACAGATCCGATCTGTATATCCAAAGTGGTCGGTGTAATATCTTAAATAGAGCTAGCTGATTTTTGATGGTCAACACAACTTAGTTGTCTCAAGTCTTGGGTATTCTACTTCCTCAGTTTATTTTTTCACGTGAATATCCATGTTGACCATGGACTGTGTACATTTTTACTTATTCCTATCCACTTTTTGCACCTGTCTTCGATAAGCTCAGGGTATTCTTGGACGTTGATTGCTTTAGGGTTAAAAGACAAAATTACAAAATTGGTCAGTAGAATAAAAGGTAGACAGGCTGGAAGAATGTTCCCTTGTGGGATGCCCTTGTCTCTGAGGACTCTGAGAGCAGAGGTCAGTTAAATAAGATTCCAGGATAAGGTAATAAGAGTGGGTAAGAATCACTTAAGTTTATAAAGTATGCTTGATACCAATGAACATCCACGTACGCACCCGAGCAATACTACTGTAGAAGTGGAACAGGAGACCCAGAGACTCGTTGCCATGCTCAAGCATGATTCTCATATAGAGTGACAGTTCTACAAGTTCTCTATATGGAGCCAAGGAGTTGCACCCTCCAAATAAAAAAATATAAGCTTCATAAATCACCTACCTTGGGTGTTGGCAGCCCAAGGTCAAACCTAGGTCTTATCCATCCATCCACCGAGGTTGCTCCAGAGGGTACCAACAGCTAAGTCATATCAGCCCCTAATGCATCTGTTCCTAACACCAAACTTATTCTCTCTCACTCACTCTTAAATACATTCTTTCCTACTTACATTGTACATTGAACATTTACTCAGTTTGAGTACTCGAGATCCTCCATCACCCTTTGCACCTATTTAAAACTAACCTAATTAAGGCTGTTTCCTTCAAGAAGTGGAACAGGAGACCCAGAAACTCGTTGCCATGCTCAAGCATGATTCTCATATAGAGTGACAGTTCTACAAGTTCTCTATATGGAGCCAAGGAGTTGCACCCTTCAATTAGGTGGGACACATCAAGCAACCTTTTTTTCTCATGCCAGACACATACACGGGCTTTGTGCCAACTATCCTATCCTTAGTCAAGTCAGATCCTCCAGTCCACCGACTCTACCACATTCTTGTAATTGTGGTTTTTATAGCATTTTTAGCATCAGAAGGTTAAATCCAGAGGTTGGGACGACCTGGCCTTAGCTGCTCATCCGTCTTTTCCTTACTCTACAGACCTATGTGACCATGAACCAAGACAAAAACCTCCATTTTGCTGTGAAAAAAATGTATGTTTTTCAGTAAAATTATGTACCATATTTTATGCCTGTACTATGTACTTTTAGCATAACTCACTTGTTGTAGCTTTAAGCTGGATTATTGACAGTACCTTTGGATTGGCTTAATCTTTTCTAAAATAAAAACACAAGCATATAGATAAAATTATGATTTGATTTACACAAACTGACACTGTTGTGTCAAAAAAAAGGTTAAATAAATCTAGCAATCATTTTGAAACTCATTTATTGCAACTTCTGCTTATATTTTGCTATTATAAGCAGGCATATTAATTAACAACATAAACTACAACATCTTATTAGTATTAAGAAACATTATTTTACCGATTATAAATCCAAATATGAAAAAATAACTCTTGTTAATACACGTTTTAAAATCAACAATAAATGCAATAAATTTTTCTCAGCTGAATTCGATCTGCTGTTTTTTCTCCAAATATTATTGCGCATGATATTTAAACTCATAATACATCATATTTCTAAATACGTCTGAACTTTACATATTATGAAACTTTGAATCAGAATTATACTTAGAATCATTTATCATCATTTATCAAAAAAAACAATCACCTGACAAAACCGCACTGGCACGTTACAACAAAAACTTATGGAAACAAAAATAACAAAAATAGTACTTGTTTCAAGTAACAGTGTTGTTAATAAAACAAATTCTTGGTTGTCTCAAGTACGCTCTGTGTCCTAAAACAAACCAAAAACAAAAAATATAAAAGAAACTTATCTAGTGTTTAAAAAAATTAATAAATATTACACATTAAGATTAAAAAAAGGAGCTTTGATGATTGCCCTAGATAAAAGAAATTATAGTTTTCTGTAATTTTACCATCATGAACAGGACTGTTAGAACTTGTTAGAAAATTTTTAAGTTCATGGTATTATGGCGACATATTCACAGAAAGCGCACTTTTAAGACTTGAAATATAAAGTACACAACTTGATTTAAGCCCATTTTAAAATTTTATTTATACTTTTTCTAAAACCACCTGTTAACAAACTGAGAATTCTCCATTTAGTTTGTGAGTTGATGAACCTCTAATTTGATCACTACTGATCATTTTTAGCCCTGTCAGAGATGTTTCAACTTTTGCCATCTTTACTGTAGCGCCAAAGCAGAACATCTGACAGACAGAATCAGCAATAGGCAGGCCAAAATGGTTGCAATGACAAAATTGCAATTTCATCACACTGTACACCACATGGAGAGATGTCACAATTTAATACAGATTGCAGATAGTTTTGTAACATTTCTATCGTATTCAAAAAAGTAGTTATCAAAATAGCCGGTTGTCTGTCTCTAACAATAAATTTCATACAATTATGGAGAGAGAGAGAGAGAGAGAGAGAGAGAGAGAGAGAGAGAGANGAATGAGAAGAAAGTGGGACAACAACCAAAATGACTTTAAAAATGTTTCGAGCTCCACTTCACAGTCCTCGGAGTTTGCTGATGACCTGTCTGGCCTGCTGAAGATGTGCCAGAAAAATACGATGCAATGGAAAAACCTGGTCTTTTAACCATCCTGTTTTGATAAATGGAACCCTTCTGGGTTAAAAACCATTGAATAGACACCAGCATGAATTTTCTTTAATTATTTACATAATTAAAAACAATTTTCAAATTAGATTTACACCATTGTCAATAAGGCTCCTTTTAACCTCTAACCAGGTTTGTAGGATAAGAATTTATTTTTAACACCTTCAAGAAGGCTAAAATTAAGTTCAAATTTTTACCCAAGAGAACAGAACTTAATATACATAACTGAATTGGCTTTTATAAAGAAACTTTTGTCAATCCAGGACAAAATCCCCATTTGTAACTACCTTAAACCGATCTGGATCTATGGCATCACAATTATGTAGTTGAATGTAAGAATGGTCAGTATTTGGCCAAATTCTGACACTAGACAAGCCTGTATTCATTCATTCTCTCTCTCACACACTCTCTTTGTCTGACTCTCTTACTTTAGCTTTCTTTTTATCTATTTTTTTTCTTCTTTTCTGTCTCTTTTTTTTCTCATTTTCTTTCCCTCCATTTCTCACTCACACGCACATGCACGCCCTCTCTCTCACTCTCTCTCTCTCTCTTTTTCTCTTCTCTCTCTTTCTCTCCCCCTCTTGATTTAGGCTCAGCTCTGTACACGTATGAATGTATGTATATTTGTGAACAGAGTTGGGTTTGTATAAAGCAGTAGCATGTACCTACTACTGGACTATCAATCTATAACCAAAGATTCGTCTTTATGTAACAAATCAATTACTGAAATGTAAATATGTTTAAACAAATTAAGGCATATAAATAAAAATTTTACAAAAATGTTTCGTTCAAGTTTACTTCGTCTAGTTTTTAATTAATAAATTTGTAAAAATTACCATGATTTGGATAAATTATTTCCGCTTGTGTAACTGACAGCAGTGGGAGCCTATTTTTATTATCTGCTGCCTATGGCTGGAAAGGAGATGGTGAGAGAACTCCGGCAAAAGTGTGGTTCTCGACGGGCAAAAGGCGCAGTAGAAGAAAAAAGACTTTGGGCTTTTTCTCCTGCTTCCGTTCTCCTCCCTGCAGTGTTTCAAGGCGATGTGGTTCGCCAGCCCTTTGAGGTTGAAGTAATGAAGTCCGCATCCCGTGCAAGACAGGAGGCCCAGTTGGAGAGTCTCGCAGGACGGACACTCCATCCTCTTCTGATGGCATTGCCCCAGGTGGTCCGGGAGTTCGGACCTGTCTTCTTTGGCGAAATCGCAATGAGGACATTTGAACAGGACGTGGGAGCGGAACGTCTGGTGACCGAATCCCTCGATTTTAATGTGTTCCGCGACGTCCCTGTCGTTGAAGAAAGTACGACTGCAAAGACAGCACTGGAATTTCGTCGTGAGTGTTACATGGGTCGATGTCTGGTGAGATGTGAGTTCAGAGGAAGAGCCGAACTCCCCTGGGCAGAAACGGCATTTGAAAGGAGCCATTGCGTTTTTCGTTTAAATCGAGTTAAAAATGAACAACCGCTCCTGAAAACGAAACGAAACTGACTTACAATAAATGAAGTCCTGGAAGGGAGAATATTGTAAACAAACAATTCTAAGGATTAGCCGATCCGACCGCTTGATTAAAGATTTTCTTTATTGGTCCTGCAGGAAGATAGTCCGCTAACACCAACCCGTGTTCAAATTTGGCACGATTTTAAAATTTTTTGCCTACTACGCAACAGAACAAAACCGACAAAACAAAAATAAATGTGAAATGTTTAAAATTTTCGACAGATTAAATGATTTATTACATGATGCGGAATAGTCTCCCTGGGTTCCTTTGTCTTTTCTGAAAACTATTTGGTGTCTGTACTAAAATGATTTTAACGTTTTTTTATTCCTGCATTCCCTCAACCTTATTTCTGATCACCCCTTTGAGTTTAGACGCTCACATTGCATATTCAACAGCTGCATCGAGTGCTGTTGGCAGTACCTTTGCTGCTGAAGAGGCAGCTACGTCGGCTGTTGGGAGAACGAAAAATGTGTGCTGCAGCTAGTGAATCAAAATCTTCCGACCGTCAATGTAAAAAATATTCGTAATTCCCTAGAAGTTTAAGAGAGTCCTCTCTTTTACCTACTGCTGAAGTTATCCTATCAACCGGCTATCGCAGTTAACTTTGTAACTACCCAAAGGAAGTATCTTAAGACCATTTTCGAAGGATAACCACTGCTCTCATTTACTGCAATACCCTCTTCAAACAGATGTACTTACGGCTTTAATGACTGGAATTTTCCCCGGTTTTGGGAGCTGTTGGATTAGACTTTGTAGAAGTCGGTAGGGAGTGAAGGCCCTCATGCAACAGGCAGCCGCGACAGCTGTTGAGAGTTCTCTTGCTGCTGCAGGTAGTCTCCCCATCCCGATCAGAATGATCCCAAGTTCAATAGAACCAAAGATTTTAATAACCCAACTAACTCACACTTGTTAAGTAAAAGGACTAGCTTAAGCTTCCTGAGAAGCCCCGAGTGCACAACTGCAGTTTTGAACGTTCTTCTCGGGCTTCTCTGGAAGCTGGTTGCATGTAATTATTTTTTACCTTTCTAGTGTTGCTCCTCTCTTATTACCTAGCTGAGGCGTAGATGCTGGAGTACCCCAAGGAAGTATCTTAGGATCAGAGTACATCACAGACATTCCTACCATTTCCACCTACGGGCTTGCTACTGTCCTCCTTTGCTCTCGTAAAAAAATCAGAAACGTACAATGCCATGTCACATCCTATGAGTTCATCGTTCAAAGGATAACTGCTGTTCCTATCTACTACAATATTTTTTCAAACCAGCTTGGACTATAGATTGACAAACGACTCAAAAGACAAGAAATCAGACTTTCAGACTGCTGGGCAAACGATAAAAAAACTGACTATGCAAAACAAACGCTTCATTTACATCACCATTCTGGGACGGCATCAATCTTTGGAGTTCAACCAAATATTCTAACTTCCAACTTATCCAATTCTTACAATCCAAAATCCTCCGAACCATCATCAATGGGTCTATGTATTCCAAGAATTTTTGTGGACTTCTCTGGAAGCTTACCGAGTCCTCCCTTTTACCTACTACCTGATCAAGTTATCAATGTTTCCTTCCTACAGCCGTCTATCGCACAGGACTACCCCCAAGGAAGTTTCTTACGACCCATCTTGTACATAGTATATACAGCAGACCTATAATTATTCTTTGCTTCATGAAAATCCCTTCATCTCAACTCTCATAATCCTCCCCGTACGATTAAAGCCTCCCTGGCCTCTCGACACCCTGTCAGTGAGATTAACCCCAATACACACTGACTTTGCCAGACAGGGAAATCCAAGGAAAATAGTCAGTTCAGGATGAAGGTTGAATTGACAAGAAACTCCAAATGCCTAAAATAAATAAAGTCACACAATTAAAGGTTGTATGATAATATACGACAAGATTGTCAAAAATGATAGATTTTGGACAAAATAAGTTCAAGAATTAAAAAGGCGGTTATTTTTGAAAAAAAAAATCACCTGTAACCAGTGGTAACTTGAGCCGCGGATTGGTTCAATGTGTTCCTGGTGGCAATATTCCACAGAATTATTTTACAAGAAATTCGTTTGTTCTACTGTAATAAAGAAACGTGGAAAAGCCAAGGGGAAAATTGAAGTCTTGACTCAGCTTATAACCCTGATGTTGAGCCACGTGATGTGGTGGGGCTACGATGCCATTTTGTCCAGAAGCCTAAGCCCGGCTATCTGACGAGTGAACTTGTCAGTTCGTGCTGTTTTCTTTTGTGACGCGAACATAATAGTTTATTTCTAACTAACTAACGACTAATTTAATAATAAACCAGGTGAGATTTCTATTTTAACAGTTAAGGAGAAACCAGGTTCTTTCCTGGCACTTTTTACTTCTGAAGTTGGTGTTTTCAATCAAATTGGGTTATGTGTGTGTGTGTTCGTTTTTCTTGATTTTCAGGTGGTCAAATGGTTTTATTCTTCTTTTCTGCTGTTTTTTCAGGAATTTTGACTTGCTCCGGTACTTTTCGACCCGTACTTATTTTCCTGGGACGACATAATGGACAAAAAGCAAGCCACAGCGACCAAATGCGCCTGCAAGTGTGGACAAGTAAGACTATTTTCAGTCATTTATATATTAAACTATTAAAAAATAATATAATATAACATATAATTCACCGATAAAGCCTAAAATAAGGTAATTGATTTTTGATTCCATGTAAGCCTTACGTTTTGAAATGTCTACAAATATACAATCAAGCCTTGATAAATTAGTGAAAAGTTGAACTACGTCGCATGTTTTTGTAGGATTGTGTTTTCTTTGACTTTCATGAAAATTAGTGTTTTCTGTGCTTTTCCCTTGCCCAGAGTTCGATTGGATGAGCTCAAGTTGGAAAACTGAATTCCGGACAAATCCTATTCTGCTCTATTGTGAGCTTTTATTCTTTCAAAAATATCTCCTGATTTCCAAAATTTAATGGAGCTTTTTTTTCAACAATTAAGCTGAGTGTGGTTCTGTTTGTTGTGGCTGATTCGCCTTTTCATTGCAAATTCCCTTTTTTCCTTTTATTCTGTTACCCTGGCTTTTTTCAAATTTCAAATTAACCTTTTTTAACTTTATATTAACACTTTTAACTTCAAACTAACCCGTTTACATTCCAGATTAGCATTTTTTTAAATTCAAATTAACCCTTTTTAACATCAGATTAACCATTTTTCGTTTCAAATTAACCTTTTTAAACTTTATATTAACCTTTATAACTTCAAAACAACCCTTTTTCATTTAAACTCAACCTTTTTTATTTTCAAATTAACCCTTTTAACTTTCTATTAACGCTTTTAGCTTCAAACTAACCCTGGTGAATTTAAAAATTAACCCTTTTTAATTTCAAGATAACCATTTTCGTCTCCATTTTAAACTTTATATTAACCGTTTTAACTTAAAATTGACCCTTTTTCATTTCAAATCATCCTTTTTTAATTACAAATTAACCCTTTTTCATTTCAAATCATTCTTTTTTAATTAAAAATTAACCCTTTTTCGTTTCAAATTAACTCTTTAACATCAAATTAACGTTTTTTCATTTCAAATCATTCTTTTTTAATTAGAAATTAACTATTTTTCATTTCAAATTAACTCTTTAACATCAAATTAACCTTTTTTCATTTCAAATCATTCTTTTTTAATTAGAAATTAACCCTTTTTCATTTCAAATCATTCTTTTTTAATTAAAAATTAACCCTTTTTCGTTTCAAATTAACACTTTAACATCAAATTAACCTTTTTTCATTTCAAATCATTCTTTTTTAATTAAAAATTAACCATTTTTCATTTCAAATTAACCGTTTTTCATTTCAAATCATTCTTTTTTAATTAGAAATTAACCCTTTTTCATTTCAAATTAACTCTTTAACCTAATTAATTTTTTTTAAATTACAAAATATCTCTTTTTAACTTCAAATTAACTCTTTTTTATTTCAACCAACTTTTTTTAAATTCAAATTAACCCTTTTCCGTTTCAAATTAACTCATTAACATCAAATTAATCTTTTTTAAATTCAAAATAACTCTTTTTAACTTCACATTAACTATTTTTTATTTCAACCAACTTTTTTACATTACAAATTAACCCTTTTAACTGTAAATTAACCTTTTTTTTATTTCAAATTAATCAATTTTCGCCTCAAATCAACCATTTTAAACTTTATATTAACTTTTTTAACTTCAAATCAAACCTTTTTCCTTTCAAATTAAGCTGTTTTATTTCGATTAACTCGTTTTAACTCTATATTGACGCTTTTAACTGCAAACTAATTCTTTTTCAATCCAAATTAACCTTTTTTAAATTTATTTATAACCTAAATAACCTAGATATAACCTAAATTTATTTTTACCTTCAAATTAATCCTTTTTAAATTCAAATTAATCTTTTCTAATTTTAAATTCACCCTTTGTAATTTCAAATTAACCATTTCTTTAAAACATTAAACAGACTAAGGACTTAGTAATCCCTGGATATTTCCGATTTGTTTATATCATATTAATTAATCTCTTTGACCATATGCAAATTAATTATGATCAAAATTAAAAATTATAAAATTAAATGTAAAAACAAATAATTCTTCTATTTATTCTTTTAGTTGAAGTTTTACTTTACTTGCTTACATTTCATACCATATCCAGTTTTTATATTGCATTAAAAAATGGTTAATTTTAAGTTAAAAAGGGTTAATTTGAATTTAAATAGGTTAATTAGATTTTAAAAGAGTTGATTTGGACGGAAAAATAAAAATATTAATCTCTATTTTTTAGTCGGTACCAGTTAACCCAAGTGATTATTTAAATTGATTTTTAGTTTTTATGCAAGTATTGGTTGAAATGAAAAAGTCAGAGTCACGGGCGGGACTCGAACCAACGACCTTCGGCTCGATACGCCGATATTCTAACCACTTTTGCTGTCAAGACGAATTTATTTTATTTGTGATGAAAGATACGATAGCTCAAGTGGTCCGAGCACCGGCGAATCGAGCCGAAATGATTTATAATCAAGCTATAAAAATAATTGGGTTCTTAGAAGATCATATGAAAATTGATTAAAATTTAAATTACGTTTAATTTTAATTGTAATTAACTTTCATAAAATTACGAGGCCAATTATTTTCTATTCAAACAGAAAATTCTCAAATATAAGGAATTTTACTTTATATGCTTACATTTCATACCATTTTTTAAAATGCTTCAATGAAAGGGTTAATTTGAAGTTAAAAAGGGTTAATTTGACGAAAATCTATACCTTGCATCTTGAGGTGTATTAACATAATGGACCTTAACCTTCCTATCTAAATGTATGTAATCAAAGCATCTTCCTGTCTATTCTTGGGTATTTCCTCCGCACCACCCTAGGGCATCGTTTAGTCGTGCAGGTGGGAAGAAATCCTGGCAGAAAATATTAAAGGTAGAGTGGACCCAGAATGGCTTAAAGACAATAATAATAAAATAGAGTCGTATGAGAGGCGATATGAAAAGTTTCAGCTTTTCCTTAGTAAATATCGTATTATGATTATTAAGGGATAATCTCAATACTAATATTAAGGGATAATTTCAATAAATTATTACTATTAACAACAATAATAATGTTTATCCGCGATTATTTTCAAACCGTATTAACTATCGAGCGAATAAACGCTTTTTATTACGTACAGAGGGCAGTTATTTACAATGAGATGTAAAAATTTTCGAAACGATGTCAACGAACGTCATCATCGGGTGCCGGGTGAATCGAAAAGAAATTGCAGTTATATTTATCTCTATATGCCAGGGGTAATAATTATAGCGTGGGTTTTGGAAAGTAGATTGTGACTCAGAGACGGGTTCACCTTCAAATGACTACTATATATGGTTTGCCCCCTTCCCACAAACCTTACCTTACTCACAGACTCTCTTCATTTCATCCACGTTAAATAAATAACAAGATCTACCGTGTCTACGGTTCAACACAAAACGAAAATCGGCAAAAGTTTTGAACATAGATTGTCCTATGTGAATTGGCAGTTTTTCTTATTAAAACACATTAAATGACATATTTTTAAAAATTTCTTTACAAGTAGTAGTTTTAATTCCATAATAGTAACGATGGAAAAACTATTGGTCGTCGTTTTGAAAGATTTTCATGGGGAGATACGACCCGTTGAATGTCGTCACACTATGACGAACTTCTCAAGGAAGCTCTGCGAGGGAAAAAATTAACCCGTTAAACCGTTGTCAAAGATAATTAAAGTTAATCGGAAAAGTTTAAAAAGCTCGATTAAACGGGCTGAAATGAGCGTGAACAGCTGAAACGTCGAGTGATTTCTGTTTCCAAGATAAAACAATTTAGCTATTGAGAGATCATATGACAATATCAGGTCAGTGGGCAAAACAGTCATAATCAAAAACAATTTTTTATCATTAATTTTGAGGCTTACGGACTTAATTCTTGCGCCAATCGACTCAGGAGAGGTCAATTCCGTAAGAACTTGCGCTTTGCAATCGTATATTTTCTTCGATTCAAAAAAAAAATTATGGATAACCTTACACCTTAACCTCAACCTACCTTTAACCCTTTCTTAACCGTATTAACTCAATCTAAACCATCCTTACGCTAACCTTAGCCCTACCTGACCAACCCTAACCCTTCATCCTACCTAACCTAAACAATCCCTAACGCTAGCCTTATTCCTATCTTACCTAACCAGTCCTTAACACTAACTTTATCTAAACCATCCCTAGTTCTAACTTTTACCATATTTAAGCTAAACCTGTTCTGATTTTTCCTTTGATTGATACTGTGTTCACTATAAATACCGCTTACAACTTACATAGCGTAAACCGCCCCTAACGCTAACTTTAACTTACCTAAATTAACACGTTCTTAATCCTAACCATAGTTAAACCATCCCTAACCTAACCTTAACACTACCTTAGCCTAACCGCAACCTTACTGACTTTTTTTCAAATTCAGTTTAAAAACCAAACAAAAAACACATATAATTTTTTTCCACTTGTCAGAAAATAATCGAACCTTGGATATGTAACTTAACCCTTATCACAATATAAACACTAATCCTTACACTAATATAAAAAAAGTTAATCAAATCGTAACCTGTTCGTAACCTAACTATCCTAACCCGTCCTACTGTAACCGTTATCCTAATATTAACCCTAACCCTAATGCAACCTAACTCATCCCTACCCCTGACTTAACCGCAAGTCACGACTATTTTTTTTTCTTTCAAATTCAGATTTTAAAAAAGTAGCATATTTTCTCCGCTTCACGGAAAAACATTAAATCATGGATACATAACTGCACCTACCCCTAATAGAAAAATTAAACCTAACCTAACCCTAATCCTTACCCTAATAGAAAGTATTAATCCTAACCTGGTCCGTCCCTGGCCCTACAAAGGCCCTAATGTTAACTCTAATATACTCGTTATCCTAATCCTAATGCTAACCTTAACCCAACCCCAACGCAACCTAAACTAATCCCACCTTTTGAACTATTTTTCAAATTCAATTTTAAAAACTAACAAAAAACACGCATATTTTCTCCGCATTACGGAAAACATTGA